AAGACTTCCATCATCTTCTGAGGGTAGTCCCAGAAATATGCAGCCATGATATCAGGATGCTATGGCAATTGTAATGAGGTATGGCAAGCCCAATTTATTCATAACCATGACATGCAACCCCAAATGGGCAGATATTGCAAACAATTTACAACGCTGGCAAAAAGTTGAAAACAGACCTGACTTGGTAGCCAGAGTTTTTAATATTAAGCTGAATGCTCTTTTAAATGATATCTGTAAATTCCATTTATTTGGCAAAGTAATAGCTAAAATTCATGTCATTGAATTTCAGAAACGCGGACTGCCTTATGCTCAGATATTGTTGATATTAGACAGTGAGACCAAATTATGTTCCTCTAATTAATTCCCTTTCAATGTGCATGAATTTCGTGCACCGGGCCACTAGTCTCTATATATAAAAGCCTAAGCAACCGTTAAGACTGAACAACTTGTCGACCAGTGCTATGATGCGCACTGACCACCAGGGAGCAGACACTCAATGCAGGAGCCACTCCTTGGTGGTTAGTGCACTCCCACAGCCAACCTCCTGTGGGCCCTCCCCATCCCCGCCGCTGGCCAACCTCCTGCAGCCCCTCCCCCCCATAGGCCTCAATCACTGGCCAGGCTGAGGGACCCCACCTGTGCACAAATTCATGCACCACGCCTCTAGTTCTCACATAATACAGTAAGTCCCTATGGTGTGAAGGTGGAATATACTTCCATGTGTCCATGCCTTTGCTCATGCTAGTGTTTCTATCTGAAATGCTCTTTTCCACTATACTTGGAGTTATTAAGTTCCTCTTTCTGAGTCTAGCGTGGCCATTGCTATATCTTTATTTAGAACCATTCCTGATTTTCCAAGTTAGTATTTGTCACTTTCTGTTTGGAATAAAAGTATGCCTCTGTGACATTTATTTAATTGTTATTGTTACCATTTTATACCTATAATCACCACAAAAGTATAATTCCTTCTGAGGCAAGGATATCTTTTATCCATCTTTATATTCATAGCACAGTGCTTTGCAGCTATCTAATTCTGACTAAAGAATGACTAGGGGAGTTACAATTATTTTTTCTTAAGACTAAGGCTATAAAATAACATTAGCATATTATATACCAGGTGTACCGGTTAATGCGGATTTTGTAATCAAAGAAAACATGATAATTTCAAGAGAAACATCAAAAGTGCTTTATTCAAGGTAATGTCCATAGCTAGCTACAGATTTCCCCATGTTTAGGTAATTTGTGGAGGATACCCTCCCAATAGGACTTTTCTTGTTTTGAGGCAAACCATTCAGAGACCCAATTTTCCACTTCTTCGTACGCTTTGAAGTGCTGCTCAGAAAGTGCGTGTGCCATCGATCAGAACAAGTGGTAATCTGAAGGAGCAAGGTCTGGTGAATACGGCGGGTGGGTAAATACTTCCCAAGCAAGATCTTTTAATGTGTCTTTAACTGGTTTTTAAGTGTGTGATGGTGCTTTATCATGAAGCAAAATTACTTTGCCGTGTCTTCTGGCCCATTCCGGTCATTTTACAACCAAAGCGTGGTTCAAATTGACCTGGACGTTCTTTGTCTTTCACATCGAAATCATCACTTTTAAAGCGTTTTAACCAGCGTTCACAAGCATCTTGAGATGGAGCATGTTCATCATAAGCTTCCCGAAGTATACAATAACTTTCAGCAGCACTTTTCTTAAAAATAATGAATTAAAACTTCTGGCAAATGCTTTTTTGGCACGAAATTCCACATTTTTAAGCGTAAAAATATCAATGATGTTAACATCTTCAGAAAATTTGACATATGAAGTTTTGAAGCTTGTCAATACAAAATTACATATCAAATTGCATATATATCAGCATATGTGTTAACTCCATCATATTGAAAAAAATCCACATTATCAACCGGTACACCTGGTATTTTATCAGTCTTTGTTTATCGAACCTATATATATGTATTTCAGGCATTTTCATTTTTACAGTGGGTTTTGACAGATTAAACAAGATTCAGTAATTTGGAGGAAAGGACAAGTGAAGAGAAAATTGTATTTGCAACCAGGACTCAGCTTACCACTTTACTAGTGTGTGACTAAGTGTTTTCAAATATTAGCTTTCTCATGCCAAAACCGGTTTGGCTCAGTGGATAGAGCATCGGCCGGCAGACCGAAAGGTCCCAGGTTCGATTCCGGTCAAGGGCATGTACCTGGGTTGTGGGCACATCCCCAGTAGGAGATGTGCAGGAGGCAGCTGGTCGATGTTTCTCTCTCATCGATGTTTCTGACTCTCTATCTCTCTCCCTTCCCCTCTGTAAAAAAAAAAAAAAAATCAATAAAATATATTTAAAAGAATATTAGCTTTCTCATTTGCAAAAAGAAGATAACAGTATATGTTCTATACATGTACAGATTTCTTGAGGAACAAATTAAAAATGAGGTAACATCCATGAAAGCAACTAACACTCTGTTATTCACACTCCCAAGATGAAGAACATGAGTGCGGAGAACTAAATTGCCAAGTAATAAAGAGTGATGTTAAGTACCATATAAATGTCAAGTGTCCCACTTACCTCTTCTAGAACTTGGCTTTGTATTTTATTGTATGCTACTTAAAAAATTATAACTTTTCTTTGACTATTTTATTTAAAAAATCTTTCAGAAATTTTACAAACACATAACAATATTACAGGTACTACATCTTCTCTATATAAGATTTCCATAGACCCAATATAGTGAAATCTACCCAATGGTCATTCTAATGCTATAGATAATTAAGATGATCTCATTAGCTAGAATTTCTGTTCTGTTGACTTAAACAACTGCAACAATCCCTGTCAGAAGTAGTGTCTACACAATGACATACAGGCATGCCACAGAGTATTCAAATATTTGTATTTTTTTATTGCTAAATTGATATTAGAAGTAAACTTTTTTCTTTTATACTCACATGATTTTAGTAGTTTGCTAGAATAAGGAGTACTGTCCTTTTGTTCTACAGACATAGGACAAATTTGTCCTTGAGAAAGCTGTGATGTTTCAGATACATGGGCTGAAAGAATATTTGCAGAGTCTTGACTTTCTTCTTCAACTGGTGGGTGCTATTAAAAAGAGAAAGACAAATATAAATGTTAATATTTATCGTCACAAAAACACCACCTACTGGTAAGTGCATAGACCTACGTAGATTAATTCTCAGAGTAACCTCACATGCTTGATACTTAATTAAAAAAAACCACATATTTTTATTGATTTCAAAAAGGAAGGGAGAGAAAGAGAGAAACATCAATGATAAAAGAAAATCATTGCTTGGCTGCCTCCTGCATGCCCCCTACTGGGGATCAAGCCTGCCACCTGGGCCTATGCCCCTGACCGGAATTGAACCTGGGACCCTTCAGTCCACAGGCTGATGCTCTATCCACTGAGCCAAACCTGCTAGGGTTACTTACATTATTTTTGATTGTTTATTTAAAAAGAAAAATATTTTATATTTTAAATGGCAATCATGAAAGGCCATGTTATGTGATTTTTTTCTTATCAAGTACTTACAAATCCCAAAGAGCTGATGAGAGATAATATTTGTCCTGGGGTTCTTGAATAATCTTGCCTAGGTTTAGCCATTGATGGTGTTATAAGGATATCCATCATATTGATATCTATGGAAAGAAAAGTATATGAAATTTTTAAAAACTTTAACTGTCATTGACTAAGTCTATAATCATATGTCCTGAACTATGCCCCTCTTTCCACATTAAATTATCTACCAATTGGCTTGTGCCAGACACAGGAAAGCCAGATGCCATAGAGCCGTGGTTGGCAAACTGTGGCTTGCGAGCCACATGAGGCTCTTTGGCCCCTTGAGTGTGGCTCTTCCTAAGCCTTAGCAGTACCCTAATTAAGTTAATAACAATGTACCTACTTATGTAGTTTAAGTTTAAAAAATTTGGCTCTCAAAAGAAATTTCAATCATTGTACTGTTGATATTTGGCTCCGTTGACTAATGAGTTTGCCGACCACTGCCATAGAGCAAACATAAAAAAACTAAGCAACTGATTGAAATCATTAGTCTGATAAAACAGTCTTGCTCTGGAATGACTAAAATTCAGTGTAATGACAAAAAGTCTTAGCTTTTCAGGGAGTACTCAGTCACTAAACAAGAGTGTTATCTAACTGGCAACAAAATAATTCTTGATAAATAAAATATTAGAAAAGGTGGTGGTAAGCAAAACTAAGAAATCAAAAGATAGTAGGAATATAAATTAAATTTCAATATCAGAATCTATTTAAGGAATTAATACAAATTATGGGCCTTTCATGTTAATTAAAATATGCAAATATAGGTCAAGATAGAAATTAACACAGATCTTTATATAACACTATAAAATAAAATAATTCAACACCCACACGTAATATATTATTTCTTGACTAAGGACCGGTGCATGAAATTTGTGCATGAGTAGGGAACCTAGACCTTACTGGCAACCAGGGCCCATCTGTGGAGTGACCAGCGGGGCGATCGGGGGCCCCCACTGGCACCCACCTTGGCTGACCTGGGGCCTGCGGGCTCGGGGCAGCTCCTGTGTTAAGCGTCTACCCCAGCCGTGAGCAAATTACGACCCGTGGGCCGTATCCGGTCCGTTTGAAATGAATAAAACTAAAAAAAAAAAAAGACCGTACCCTTTTATGTAATGATGTTTACTTTGAATTTATATTAGTTCACACAAACACTCCATCCATGCTTTTTTTTCTGGCCCTCCAGTCCAGTTTAAGAACCCATTGTGGCCCTCGAGTCAAAAAATTTGCCCACCCCTGGCCTACCCCCTGGTGGTCAGTGCACATCATAGTGACCGGTCATTCTGCCGTTCAGTCGATTTGCATATTAGGCTTTTATTATATAGGACTAGAGGCCTGGTGCACAGTAATTTGCACTGGCGGGGGCGGGAGGGATGGACTCCTTCAGCCCAACCTATGCCCTCTCACAGTTTGGGACTCCTCGGGAGATAACAACCTGCTGGCTTAGGCCTGCTCCCCAGGTGGCAGATGGCAGGCCTGATCCCTCGGTGCCTGCCCCGCCTCCCCGGGTCGCAGATGGCAGGCCCGGATGGTGGCGGGCGGGCGGTGGCTCATGCTGTGCTGCCCCATCTGCAGTATGCAAATTTAACAGCCATCTTTGTTGGGTTAATTTGCATACTCTCCTGATGGGCTGATGGGCGTAGTGAAGGTATGGTCAATTAGCATCTTTGTCTTTTATTAGTGTAGATATGTCAAAAATGGTAAGAGAAGTTTAGGATATAACTTTGCACGGGATATAAGACTTTTAAAAATTGACTGAAAATTTGAATGTAACAAATTTCATTTAAAAGATTAAGTGTCCGCCCTTCCCTCTGATCAGTAGCTATGATGTGCAATGACCACCAGCGGGCAGGTGCGCAACGCAGGAGCTGCCATGATGCGCACTGGCCATTTAAAAATAAACGACACCACAGATCTGGCACCAACAAAACAACATTTGGCTTCCCTAAGTGGAACACAGACCCTGCCACCATCCCAGAGCGACATCCCACAAAATTGCAGCCAACGCTACTAAGACCCCATGGCACAAAATGTGGCCTACAGCCCAGCCCAGCCCAGAAACGATAATTGTGGGCGCTGGGTAATGATGCCACATAGCAACGTCCAGTTTCCTCTCCCTAGCGATTAGCCTCCTTGAAGTTTCTTCAGCTCAGAAACCTGACCTGCTTTATAGTCAGGTGCAAACATTTTATAGTTCAACCAAATGTTTATGAAGCATTTTCACGTGCCTCATCTCATTTGATCCTCACAGAAGTCCTGGGGTAGGTAGATAGGAGACTCAGTGGAATCCTATTTTCTACTGGGCTGAAAAATGTTTAGCCAAATCAGAAAGCAGGTCTAATTAAGCAAGTTTATCTATATACATAAAAGGCTAAATTAACTAGCACATGCGCGATACATATAAAAGCTCTCACTGCAGCCAATTACACGTGCATGTTTCTATCTGTCATTGTCTATTGTGAATTTGGTTGACATTTCTACTATAGAAAAGGACGAATAGCGATATTAAAATATTTCTTCTAATTAATTTCCTTAGTATATGTGTATTTGTTAATCATCACCTGAGGATATTTTTCCATTGAATTTTAGAGAGAAAGCGGAAGGGAGGGGACTAGACAGGGAGAGAGAAACACTGCATGCTCTCGGCAACTGAGGTACATACCCTTGACCGGAATTGAAACCAGGACCCTTCACTCCAGGATCTGATGCTCTAGCCACTGAGCAAAACTGGCTAGGGCCATTTACACCTCATATTGATAAAGCAATAATTTCTCCTTTTTTTGTTGCTAGTTTAATAGTGTAAAACGATTCATTTATTATTTTTAGTGTGTGTGTGATTTGTATTTTCATTTTCTTTACCCCTTGTTTAATAAGGTCTTATTGTTGGTCAAATATATTTGGATAAGTTCTTTAGCTATTAACTGTTCACCATGTTATAGTTATTTTAGGAATTTTACTGATGTTTAATTGGTCAGAATCAGTTTCAGTAGAGGTAAAAAGTAAAGAAAACCCCAGAAATTGTGAGTTTCTCTTTGAAGATCTAAAGATCTTCAAGGACCTTTGAGGACTTAAAAATAATTATATTTTTCATCTTTATTTATTTTTATTTTTTTCAATATATTTTATTGATTTTTTACAGAGAGGAAGGGAGAGAGATAGAGAGTTAGAAACATCGATGAGAGAGAAACATTGATCAGCTGCCTCCTGCACATCCCCTACTGGGGATATGCCCACAACCAAGGTACATGCCCTTGACCGGAATCGAACCTGGGACCCTTCAGTCCGCAGGCCGACGCTCTATCCACTGAGCCAAACCGGTTTTGGCATATTTTTCATCTTTAATTGAAAGGTACCATTACATCTTTCCAGTCTATTTCAGAACAAATAATTATAAAAAAGTGTAAGTTAATGAAATGAGGTGTCTAAAATTTGTTGGATTTTCTTTTTACTCCTCACCTGAGGATATGTGTTTTTAAAAAAATATATTTTTATTTATTTCAGAGAGGAAGAGAGGAGAGAAACATCAATGATGAGAATCACTGATAGGCTGCCTCCTGTACACTCCCAACTGGGGATCGAGCCTGCAACCTGGGCATGTGCCCTTGACTGGAATCAAACCTCTTCAGTTCGCAGGCCAATGCGCTATCCACTGAGCAAAACTAGCTAGGGCAAGGATATGTTTTTTATTCATTTTAGAGAGAGGGAAGGGAAGAGAGAGAGAGAGAGAGAGAGAGAGAGAGAGAGAGAGAAGAGGAAGAGAGAAAGAAATATCAAAAGGTGGCCTCCTGTAGGGGTCTTAATTGGGGATCAAACCCAAACCTAGTGTCCTAACTGAATCGAACCCGCAACATTTTGGTATATGGGACGAAGCTCCAACCAACTGAGCTACCTGGCCAGGGCTAAAATTTGTTGGATTTTAAAAAAGGTACTTACCTGCTATTTTTCTTACCTCTATTCAAAGTAACCTTGGAAAGGCCAAAATCAGTTAATTTAATATGACCTTCATTAGAAATAAGCATATTGTCTGGTTTCAAATCCCTGCAAATACAGAAAATAATAGGATATGATTAAAAGAGAGCTAGTATTGATGTTAGAGTTTTCTTGAGGGGAAGAAAAGTTACAGAAGTCTCTAACCCTATTTATTTCCTTTAAAATAAGGCACTCATTGGTGACTTTGAAACTACAGAAAAGTCTAAAAAGCAAACAACCTTTTGTATATATGAATCTATAACAAAGAAAACTAATTTAATGGTTATCTTTTGCATCATTCATTAGATAGTTCATAAATGAAATCAATGTCATTAGATAAAATAAATCTCAAGCTAGGTCAAAATCCTATTTACTTCTTTCAAGGAGGTTAATAACAAGCTTTCATAGAGCAGAACCACTAAACCTGAATTTCTTTGCCCACCGTAAATCAGCTGGGATTATAAAATACGGTAATTTTGTATGGTGGTAAAGGATTGGAAAAAAACACAATTCAATATTTATTATAATAAAGTGGTACATTCATGATCAAAGGAACATATTATTAAAAACACAAGGAGACGAAGGGAGAACTGATGGAACCCGTTAATTTCACATGTCAATAATAGACTTTAGATAACCTGGATATATGGGCAAATGATTATGCAAATATTTAAAACATAATTTGATTATTTGTGTTTTTAAGTAATAGTCCACAGAAAAGTCAGTTTTTACCTGTGAATGATTCCGTGTCTATGAAGGTAATCTAGAGCCAGTGCCACTTCAGAAATATATTTCACAGCCATCTTTTCATCAAAATAACCATATATATGTAGGAGAGATTTCACATCTCCACCAATAAGATATTCCATTAGCTATCAGAAAGGAGCATAAATGTTGGAAAATAAAACCAATATGATTACATTAAAATTTATATTATTTGAGCATCACAGTTACATATTTTTAGTATGGTTCTCTATGAAGAACCATAGTTTAGTATGGTACCACTCAGTCTGCATTTATACCAGGTTTGGTCATGTTACCATATACAGTGGGGCCCTGACTTACGAGTGTCACGACTAACGAGTTTTTTGAGATACCAGCTGTCTCTTGGCCAATTTTTTGCATTGAGTTGATAGAGTAATTGGAGTTAACGAGCTCGGTCTCGGAATGAATTAAACTCATAGTCAACTGGGGATTAAGCCTGCAACCTGGGTATGTGTCCTTGACCAGAATCGAATCCGGGACCCTTCAGTCCGCAGGCTGACTTTCTATCTACTGAGCCAAACTGGCTAGGGCTACCATATAGTTGTTTTTTTTTGAATTTTTGAATCAATAAAGTCTTAGTATTAACAAAATACAATAACAAAGGATCATAACTGGTTAGCAAATGGTCTCCTCCCTTTTTCCTGGCCCTTGTACTTATTCCAACCTTAGTAACCTATCCATGTGTCTGTATAAATCCCACCTCCATGGTGATATTGATCCTTGGCCTTCCACTCTCCTCATCCCCCATAAAATTGCCTTCTGACTACTCTTAATTATATACACTTATATAATTCCTTAATTATTTCCTGTGTGTTACACTAATCTCCCTTCTTCATTGTAAATTCCTTAGGAATCTTATTTACAACTTTTGTACAAAAAGTTTCGTTGATTCAGTCAATATTCTGGTGAGCAAGGTAACCATATAGTTTCTAAAATAGTTTGCCAAATTCACTTTTTCCCTCTCCACATATGACTATAAATAAATAATATTTATGCGAACCTTTAAGATAATTATGTTTCAAAATAACAAATATTAATGTTATTAATAGACATAAAAGCAGGTAATTTCATTCAGGTAAAAGAGTTTAACTGAAAAAACTATATGGCAGCATTAGCAAATATTAATGTATAATTTTAAATCTTTACTAAATAATCAAGAATAAGTTGAAGATATCATGAACCATCACTACTAAATTCTTCATCATGTATTTGCTAACAAGCATGTTCTCAGCCCGGCTGGCCTGGCTCAGTGGTTGAGCATCAACCTATGAACTAGGAGGTCACAGGTTGATTCCTGGTAAGGGCACATGCCTGGGTTGCAGGCTACAACCCCAGTGTGGGACATGCAGGAGGCAGCCTATCAATGAGTCTCTCATCATTGATGTTTTCTATCTTTTTCTCCCTCTCTCTCTTCCTCTCTGAAATCAAAAATATATATTTTTTAAAAAGGATGTTCTCACTTAACTATGGCATAATATAATTCTGAGAACTTAACACTAATATAATGCTATTATCTAACATATTGTCCATATTCACATTTCTCTGATTTCAATATTATCCCTGAGAGCATTTCTCCCCATCCCTCATGCCTAAGCCAGAATCATGAATGGGATTTAGTTGTCATGTCTTTTTTTAGTATTCTTTAATCTGAAACAGTTATTAGCTTTTTAGGGGGGATAGTGGGAAGCAGTCTTTTATGACATGTGATTATTTTTTCATGATTCAATTCAAGTTATGCATTTTGGGCAGGAATAGTACATTAGCAATGTTGAGTCTTTTTCCGTGACTTCCACCAGGTGAGACACTCAACTAACATCAGTGTGTTCTTTTACTGGTGATGATATCTTTGCTCACTTAAAGTTGTGACTTCCAGATTTCTTCACTGAAGAAGTACTTTCCCCCCTTTGCAATTAATAATTAATCTGGGGGAGATACTTTGAAACTACATAAATAACCTTTTCTCAACAAACTTTCATTCAGTGATTTTAGCAACATGCAACTACAGATCATTTCATTATTGCTGTGTATGGTTGCAAAGTTCTATTATTTCTTTTATACATACTGGTTATTATCCCAAAATTTTCTATAGTTTTAAGCTATAAAATACTGTCTACTTAAGAACTTCATAAAACAAGGTCATTTCTTTCCTCCTCAGGTTAGTAGTTTCCCTGGTACATAGAAGTTAGTCAATATTTATTGATGAAATCAATCATTAAAAACATTTATTAAGCACAGAATCTGTGCTATATGCCCTACTAGTACTGGAAATATATTCTCATCAACAGTGATTACCTATCTTTTCCATCTTTGTTAATCTAAGAAAGAAAAGATAGACCAGTTTAAATGTTCACTTTATTTTCAGGGAGATGTAGGATCTTTACATATTATTTTTGGTGTTTTATATTTCTTCTATGAACTACTTCTATTCTTTGCCCACTTTCTACTGGGGTACTTATCCTTTTTTTATTGCTTTGTAAAATCTCTTTATTAAAAAAATGTTTTTGGATTTCAGAGTGGAAGGGAAAGGGAGAGAGAGATAGAAACATCAATGATGAGAGAGAATCATTGATCGGCTGACCCCTGCATGCCCCCCACTGGGGATAGAGCCTGCAACCTGGGCATATACTCTGACTGGGAATTGAACCAGGGCCTCCTGGTTCATAGGTTGATGCTCAACCACTGAGGTATACCAGCTTGGCAAATCTCTTTACATAGTAGTACATTTAGCCTGTTTTTCTTCTGGACAATAACTATTTTATCCAAACATGTCATTTGACCATGTATATGGTATTTAGTGTCACATGTTTTTAAAATTTAAGCAAATTTTATGTTGTACTTAGTAAATCTTGTGCCATTCTATGATTATAAAAATACTAATATAAATTTTCTTCTAGAAGTTTTATAGATTCCCACTTTTCAGTAGAAATCTCTGATATAAAAGGGGAACATATGCACCTAGCTCTAGATCATACTCTCACAGGGTATTATTATTTCAAGTGACATCAAAACTCAGAACTTGAAAGTATAACAAAAGGACAAAAAGAACTTCAAAGAAATCCAAAATCAAATCCAATTGTTTTACTACTGTTAGCAAAACAATACTGGTATTGTTATTCTCAAAATATTTTAGATATACATCTATTGTATGTTAAAGCAAGTAATTATGTTAATGTTATTTGGATCTCAGATTCTCCGGGTAAAAAAATACAAAAATTTTCTCCCAAACATTTTATAATTTATATATTTTTCAAGATGTTAAGTAAAAATTCTAATAACCTTCCATTGAACTGAAAATACCAGTATAAATTCATGTTATACTTTTGTCTTTCTATAAAGATGTGTTTCCTAGTCCGTCCACTGAAAAGGCCTAAAAGGAATGATAGCCTAGTGGCAATGAAATTTAATAATCACTATCACCTAGATTGTGGTCTCAGACAGTATACAAAGATAATTAGCCAAAGGGGTCCCATTCACTTAAGATGGGACAATTGAAACATAGCTACAGTGGATACAACCTATGTGTTATAAATCTATACAATTCCATGAATTTATAAAGATACTTAACAAAAACTAAAAGGAAAACTATAAATATCTGGAAGTAGCTCTTCTGAAAATTGGTGAAGGAAGGAAAAGAATCAAGTGCTTATTCTGCTTTCCTCATAAAAGCTGTATTTCAGAGTAATAATTTGGATGACAAGGGAAAGTTCTTTATAGAAAAATTCTAGCTAATCAGAACTAAAACAATAATAGAAATGTAAAAATCATCATCTTCAAGCTTTAATAAGATAATATATCCAGGCAATGAATTCAAGGATGACAAAAACCATTATATGAAAGGCTGATCAAGTTCATTATGTTAATCTTTTGATTTTTTTACGTATGTAAATGTTTCCATAATACCGTATTTGCCGGCGTATAAGACGATTTTTTGGCCCTGAAAAATATGCCTCCAAGTGGGGGGTCATCTTATACGCCAGGTACACTTCAGATAGACTGCCCATAGTGCTTGCCCCGTGCCATAGTGGCCTCCCGATGCCCGCCCACTTTATTCCACATACCGTTCAGGCATCAGCAGCGCTGCTGGGTGTATGCTCGGCTGTTATGCGATTTT